CCGAAACTTTGTTTCTCCAAAGTGCTTGCCTCTAAGTCCCACTTGGGTATGTGATGCTCAAATATAAAGCAAAGTCCAGTTTTACAAAGAAAATTTGAAGAAAATTGTAGGTCTTTTGAATGTGAGTTGGAATATCTTAGTTTTCTATCTTGGCCTGACTTTCTCGGAGAAATGTGGAGTTATGGAGCCTAACAACTTGATTGCAATCTCTTTACGGTAAAAAGACTTAATTAGCATGTACTTATAAATTCAACTTGTAACGCTTTGTTAATCAAGGGAAGATGACAGAGGTTTCTGTCGAAACATGTCTTTTAAACCCAAAAGTTTTGTCGTTTTCTTTAAAAAGACTTGTCTAAAAACGTTTACCCACTCGTGGATTGAGGCATCCTTAAATCCGTTGAACACTCGGATGACAGTGTAAAATCACTGCATACCAAGTATGATCACATTTTCAACTCCGGATATTGCATTTCGAGTGTTCTGATTGGTTAACTCACCTCCGGTTGGTACTTCATATACCGTGTATGGAACCTTCTTCACCCAAGTTATTCTCAATTTTAGAGTTAACACAAATTCATTAGAATTAACGAAAGGCGTAAAATTTAAATAAACGGTCATTCCAGTCCCACCTGTTGGGTACGAGAGCCAACTCGGTGTTACGCACCTTGTTAAGTATTTGCCATCTAAAATTCAATATCCACTCATAGAATGGTCCCTAAATAATAGCGATATCCTTGTTTCGTAGATAAGAAGATAACCCAGCGATCCAAAAAGAAACTGGAATTAAGGATTACCAAGGCAAACAGGGTAAAAAAATCTTACCGTTTTTTCCACCTACGACGTAGTCATAATCTATGAGCAAAAAAAATAAAATTGTGATAAACAGCTTCAGAGTGTAAGCTATTGAGTCAACGGGAATTCTGGGGAAATGTCTGCTCAAGAGTCAATATTATCCAGATGTTGATTTCATATTCTCCACCGCGAACCTTGGAATTTTTTTCAGGATTACCGTTTTTGGATAAAACTGAGCTTTAATCTAATTTCTAATTCATAGATTACTTTTGGACCCTAAAAGTACTAGTTAAGGAGTGAATTTCGAACACTGATCAGATTTTTCTTCGCAAGGAAGCATCTTGTTAGTCCCGGGTGCAACTACTGCACCACAGATTTCTGAAATAAACTTCAGCGTACTTGCAACACCGAGAGTTTCTTGATATCACAAAGAAAATTTAAATGAAATTATATCCAGTGGTTTGACATCATTGTTTAACACATGATTAAAAAAGTATGCAAATCCCAATCTTGTTACTTTTGGGTGTTTATTCTGTAGAGTAGAGATACAAAACTCATAAACGAAATATGAAATAATAGACTTTAACGTTGGCCAAATAACTCTCTGATGGATCTGAGAGGGTCGTAGACATCAAACAAATATCAAAGTCCACGTTTGAGCAACGGCGAGAAGGAAGGAGAGAAAAAACGTGTACATCATTCATAAGTACATATGTAATAAATGGCAAGAGTTGTTGTAAAAAGTACGGATTCTTACCGGCGCTGAAAACAAGCGGCACCAAGCTTACACAGAGGAACACAGTCAGAAAAAGACGATCCATAATTATCCTAAATCCGAAAACAAATTACAGAAAAGAAACATTAGGAGAGATTTTGAAAAATTGAAACAAATAGAGGAAATCATGGACAGTCTATGAAATAATGTGAGGAAAACTATTATAATAATGCCATGGTCCAAACAGAAATTTGTCCAGACTTGCTTAGTTTTCGCTTTTGTTAAACTTTCTCTTGGTTGAAAAAAATAACCCGAAAACAATACTCTTTATAGATTAGATTACTTAAACCTTTTTTCGGTTGGAAAAAATATTAAAATCTAAGGGGGATTTGACGATAGGTAACAGTGTCGCGTTGACAGAGCGAACAGTGGAAAACTTCACCGGATGCACTTTCAATTTAATGCAAGCGCATTTATATGCAGTCGCTATTGAATATTTACTCACATACGGGTAATGTTTTGTTTTCTTCTATATCAACGAGCAGAAATTTGTTTAGCCGGTCAAATAGAAACAGCTCATAAGGTGCTTCTAATATCTTAAATTGCCGACTCATCGAGAGATTAATTTTTATTTTATTGCCTTAAACCGGTAGTTCGTAAGCGAGACTATGTTTTATTTGTGTACATTAAAACTACTTAATATGTTAATTCCATAAACCACCTCACCCGTCAAAATGTGTTTAATTGTGTTGTCATATGTTCAGGACGTGATACACGACATAGTTACGCATGTTCAGTATTGATACTCAGAAAGCAGAACATAGGACTCTGGATCATTTTTGTAAGTACTAATGAACAATGAACACAATTGAGAGAAAACCACGAAGTGTTTAAGTAATTGTTTCCGAAGGGTGTATGTAAAACGGTATTACTCCTAGAGGAAGTTTCAGAATAGTGCCTTGTCCTTTCAAGGTCAAACGCATTCTAGCAAACATGACATGAGTTAGAGGAGAAGTGTATCAGTCAAGGTTGATACGAGGACATATTCATGAAGACTAGAAGGAGATAGCTTAACATTTCATTGAGCCGGTTTCCGTCGACGATTGAGTTATTGTGTCTGATCACGGTTACATCGTTTCCCACTCACCTTGCTACCTAATACCACGTTTCGTTACAAGATAAAATAACACCGACTTGGTTGGATTTTTAGACGTTAAAGGTTTCGTAGTGTTACGCGCACAGGCAATTTAAATGCATCAGATTTATTTGCTTTACGAAGATTTCAGTGGGTTGCTACATTTTCCGTATTTTCGGGACAGAGTCCATCTTAAGAGATGTCTTCGCACATACAACAGGAAATAAATAATTATCAGATTTTAAAGAAAAGCATATGCTATCGATGAAGCGTCAATTTCCTCGGTACAAACTATGTTGGTTTACCGCTATGTTTTCTAACCATTCATCAGTGTCTTAAAAATCGCCTTGAAAATAGATTTCAAAATCTTGCGCATTTAATGACGTATGCTGATTTTGACCACAAACACATTAAGTCGCCAAACTAACACTTGAATAGCTTTGATCACTTTGCCAAAGAAAGTCTCCGGAAGCGTTCATTAGCTGATGTTGATAGAAGCACAAATTTAGGAAAAACCTCAAAATTAAGGGAAGGGTTGACGTCAAAGAAAAATGGTTTTATTGCTTTTATATTCCTCCTCCACTACGCCTCGTCCATTTCGCAACATTCGGGTTCAGTTTTTCCTCTCTTTCATTTCTTCTTCGCAAATGTCGAGTCAATTTCATTTAGGGTTCTTTTCCAATCTGTGTATCAAGTGCTCAGAATTGTTTATTTTTCTCCCAAAATGTTATTTTAATTTTGACTCAGGGCCAGTATCAATAACATGTCATTGCAGTTTAATGACTGACGTGTTGCCCTGTCAGGTTATGTCAAATATTTGCTGGGCTCATTTAATAGCATCCTCAGCTCGGTAAAGTAAATTTCCAACGCGATCTTGCCATAAAGCTTATTAACCTTTCCCTAGAAAAGTTCTGCATTTCTAAGCCGCAGGTTTCCCTGTAAGGCAGTAGCAGTCATTTTAGGCTTACCAACAAATACCCGTTCAATATGTGGGTGCACTTATGAGAGTGTATATACAAAAAACTTGATTAATTACCAGCCGCTCAAGAATTACTACGACTTTGTAGTTCCGCAAAATAGTATGATGCAATCGTGAAGGTCTCATTGCTGAAAACGAAACTATTAGACTGTAAAGATAAAGTTACGTAAACAAATGTTCGCGAGAAACTGTGGAAATCATGCAGGACTCACGCGGAAACCATGCGCCTAGCGTTTAACCTTTGGGTGTAACGGCAATTTGGCCACGCAATGTCTCACACGGCACCGTGAAAAAAAAGACGAGCATTCCTTGGCCTAAAACCGCGAGAGTGTGGGCAATGCTACTCTAGCTTTGGTGAAAAAAATTGACTATCATTTTTTTCCTTTTCAAAGGGTTCGATCCTTGACGAAGGAAGGAAGTGGACATATGCTTTAGGCTTTTTTTAACCATCAATTTCAGTGATAAAGTTTCCAACATAATCCATCGAGTCAGTGTTGCATTTCAATTGACCCTGAGGCGTTTTTTTATTTCGTTAAGACCCCTTTTTTAATCAATTTAAAAGGACGTTTTTTGGAGTTCGCTCTAAGTTGTAGCCAGTTGAGTTTTTTCTTATTTATTATTCGAATTCGTCACTAAGTGGTGGAATTTTTTTTGAAGGGAAGTAGTTTGACATTAACTCAACCTTAAATATGAGAGCAAATTAGTACTGACTCAGCTACAATGTGACCTTGATAAGTTGACATCTGTGGTTTTGTGGTTAGAAGCACACGATATTGACAGACATTGAAATAGTTACCACTCATGCTTCTGCATACAAGACACCTACTATCACTTTACTCTGGAATTTGCTGTCTGATCAAAGATACCAAGTGGGATAAGTACACTTGGAGTAAGTAGTCCACAGCCCATCTAAGATTTGTATAAAACCTTCCGATTTAAAAATTCCTCTGATACTTTTCTTAAACGTTGTTCAGTAATGTAACAATCTGTGGTAAAATTGGAATGTAAATGTTTGTGGACAGTCAGGAATATGAAAAATTTTGATCTCGCCCAGATTGCTTGCTTCTCAAATCGATGATGGTTGCTATATTTGCTGGTTGTCACAATTTCTTATCAAATGATTGCCTAGACATAATATCGACGTTTTTAATGTGACGATTTCTCAGACTAGAGAGGATGAAGGAAACTAATAAAGACATACACCAAAGGAAGTGATCTGTCGCATCGAAAATTCTAAGGCGTAACGCTTTGAATTTGCAGATTTGTTTGCACCGCACTAATAGTTAAGTTTGAAAGCTTCGTGAAACCGATCTATCCCTCTCAGAAACTATTAACGCGCGACGAGTTGAGCGGGCCGTGTATTAGGGTCTACTAATGTACAAAAAGTGCGTAAGATAGAGCGCGCCAGCAAATGTAGCCCAAATAGCGGTATAGTTAGCCTAAGTAACACTTTGGTTAACAAAAATATCCTCCTAATCATTGGATATCAGCTTAACATTTGCTACAGTTATATTTTTTAAGGCGCATAGCGCGCTTGCAATCGTGAACGAAACAGATGCGAAACACCAAGGGCATTCTATCTCTGCTGACACTTAGCATCATTTTTTAGTGAAAGAACTGTCAACTCTGCCGATTATTAACTATTAGTAGCTGCTAGATGCAGTTACAGCGAGTTGAATACTTGAATGTGCAAGAAATAATAACACTTTATGAAAACGTTACCTTGCGAGATTGTTTAGGGTGTCATCAACAGGTTATCGCTTCCGAAGTGGAGGAGATGATGGCAGAATAGGCAATGCTCTGAAATCTGTGGAACAAACCTAATATAATTCAAATTGGTCAACGTCACGCACCATGACTAGTGCATGACCTATTCCTTTCAATGTTATGATTCTTTATGGCCAGCCACCCACGGATTTAATTCATGAACTAAAAATTGGAGTTAATTTCCGCAGTATTTTTTAATGGATGTATTGCCCTTGCGCATTTGCGTCAAGCATTACGTATGGTGCCATTCATTCCTTTAGTCAATAACATCAAAGATGAAGTAAATGGAAGTTTGACGCGAGAGCTAAAGAGAATATTTAGAAAACGACCAGTTTTCTAAATAGGGGGGGGGGGAGTTCACCTTTAACTGTCAAGATCACAAAGCTTGCTCTCTGAACTATTATCAAGAAATCTCTTTGTTGTTTGTCCTAAGGAGTTGTTTAGAATTTTAGTACTCTCAGCGTACGAGTAAATTTTCAGTTATGCCTAAGATCCTGGTATTACTAAAGAACGTGCCAATTATAGTATGTCCGTCATAACGGGCTTTGTTTTCCGCAACGGTTTATTTTAGTGTTGGGCTCAATTAATGTTGTTTTTTTTATTCTGTCATGCGGGGAGTCGTTGGGATTTTACCGAAAGGCAAGTGCACGCAGGTTACATAATGTTATCCATACAAGCCTTGCCTGTGAGACACGCGGAAAGCATGCGCCCCGTCAAAAGTTGCAAGACACGAACATTCTTTCGCGTACGATGTTGACATTTGGCAGCTGCGCTGGATAGAACGAAATAGTGATAGCCTATCTTATTTCCTTTTTATTTTATCTGACAGCTTAAGGTTCTAAACTAAGTTAAGGTGATTGTCTGGCAGATTTGAACTAATAATATTAGTTGCAACACACACAGATTTTGAGAATGACAACGAAGCTAGCCTACCGTATTAATGCGCCCTGTGGCGGTTTTCTATGTGTAGTGTTTCTTTGTTTTCTCAACGCCATAGAGTAAATGTTTTTGGAATAATTAAAATTACTGCTTTTTTCGAAGACGACGAGTGAAGTAAATCATAGTTCGCTAGTTCAGCAGGTTAGAAAAGAGTGTCAATCGAGACAAGGTGCGAAAACAACGAAGTTTGGGATTAAAAAACGGCCAGTCTCTTATTGCAGTTTTCATCTTCTGTCATATCATCGCTCGCTTCGGTTGATCAAGGGAACGGCAAAACGCGTTACATCAACCACCATGAACTCTTGGACGAGAGGGAGACAAGGAGAAAGGAAGAATTTTCTTCTCGTAACTCCGATACAGAGAATATTTCAGTTTGTTTGCTGCACAAGTAAACCACCGTGAAGAGGGGGCGTTTCCGGGGGCGGATAGAAGGGAGGCTGGCGTCTGATTGTCAACACTATTCTTATGTTTCTTCGTCAAAATTATACAGAGTTATAACAACAATAAAGAGTAAACTCTGAGCCAATAAAGAGCAACCGAGAACAAAAACAAGTAGTTGTCTTTCATTTTGTTTCGGGCAAAGAGGACATATTTGCTAGATAAAGGTGAAAAAACGCCATTTCGCAAAATAGTAATTCTGTCAAAATTACTACTTTGCGAAACGAGTTCTATTTTGGTCAATAAATTGAGAGGTGACTAGGCTCTTAGAGAGATTGATCATTTTATTAGTGGACATAATTTGTTTCGGACGAAGAAGACATATTTGCTAAATAAAGGCGAAAAAACGCCATTTCGCAAAATAGTAATTCTGTCAAAATTACTACTTTGCGAAACGAGTTCTATTTTGGTCAATAAAATGAGAATACTTGAATGTGCAAGAAATAATAACACTTTATGAAAACGTTACCTTGCGAGATTGTTTAGGGTGTCATCAACAGGTTATCGCTTCCGAAGTGGAGGAGATGATGGCAGAATAGGCAATGCTCTGAAATCTGTGGAACAAACCTAATATAATTCAAATTGGTCAACGTCACGCACCATGACTAGTGCATGACCTATTCCTTTCAATGTTATGATTCTTTATGGCCAGCCACCCACGGATTTAATTCATGAACTAAAAATTGGAGTTAATTTCCGCAGTATTTTTTAATGGATGTATTGCCCTTGCGCATTTGCGTCAAGCATTACGTAAGGTGCCATTTATTCCTTTAGTCAATAACAGCAATGATGTGGAAGAAAATAGAAGTTTGACGATAGAGATGAGGAGAATATTTAGAAAACGATCAGTATCTAAAACAAGATGTGGGGGGGGGGGAGTTCACCGTTCAACTGTCAAGATCAAAAAGCTTGCTCTCTGAACTAATATCAAGACATCTCTTTGTTGTTTTTCCTAAGGAGTTGTTTAGAATTTTAGTATTGATCATCTGTTCGAACGAAGGGGTTAAAGTACTGCTGACAATCTCTGCAGTTTGGACATTTTGGAGTTCCTTCACGCCTATCAAGTGAGTTTTTTGCAACATCGAGACTGCCGTATGACAATTTAGGTCTTTATCCAGTGGATAGAGAGAGAGGGTTACAGAAAATGGTTAGTTCCACGTGTAACTGTACTGTCGCCAAGGTTACCTAACTCTGAGCGTGAGATCCTGCTATAACCAAAGAACGTGCCAATTATTGTATGTCCGTCATAACGGGCTTTGTTTTCCGCAACGGTTTATTTTACTGTTGGGCTCAATTAATGTTGTTTTTTTTATTCTATCATGCGGGGAGTCGTCGGGATTTTACTGAAAGGCAAGTGCACGCAGGTTACATAATGTTATCCATGCAAGCCTAGCCTGTGAGACACGCGGAAAGCATGCGTCCCGCAAAAAGTTGCAAAACACGAACATTCTTTCGCGTACGATGTCAACATTTGGCAACTGCGCTGGATAGAACGAAATAGTGATAGCCTATCGTAATTCCTTTTTATGTTATCTGACAGCTTAAGGTTCTAAACTAAGTTAAGGTGATTGTCTGGCAGATTTGAACTAATAATATTAGTTCCAACACACACAGATTTTGAGAATGACAAGGGAGCTAGTCTACCGTATCAATGCGCCCTGTGGCGATTTTCTCTGTATAGCGTTTCTTTGTTTTCTCAACGCCATAGAGTAAATGTTTTTGGAATAATTAGAATTACTGCTTTTTTCGAAGACGACGAGTGAAGTAAATCATAGTTCGTTAGTTAAGCAGGTTAGAAAAGAGTGTCAATCGAGACAAGGTGCGAAAACAACGAAGCCTGGGATTAAAAAACGGGCAGTCTCTTATTGCAGTTTACATCTTCTGTCATATCGCTCGCTTCGGTTGATCAAGGGAACGGCAAAACCCGTTACATCAACCACCATGAACTCTTGGACGAGAGAGAGACAAGGAGAAAGGAAGAATTTTTTTCTCGTGACTCCGATACAGAGAATATTTTAGTTTG